TTGAAAATTGAAATAAAAGAATTTTGATTTTATTGTCTTTAGGCTCTTGGAGCACCAATTCTCACTGATGATGTTAATTTACAAACATTTATGGAACATTTGAAGAAGCTTGCTGTGTCTTCATCAACGTAACACATCTTCGATCTTCTTCGTTTATGTGTGTGTGTGTGTGTGTAAGCCTTTATTTATCTGGTTACCTTTTGCATTTTTTACCCTTCAGGATATCATGTTATTTTATTTAATAAATATACTTATTGTTTTCTTTTTTTTGGCTATTCTGCTATTGGAAAATAAGATTTTTCATGATTATTTATAAGTGTTGAAAACTAATCATGAATGATATATAGTTTTCATCAAAACTATTTTTCATTTAAATGAATGAATATGTGAATATATTTACTCAACAGATAAGTAAATTTGACTTTATCAACCGAGATCGACAATACAATTATGTAATGATTCATTGTTCTTTTATCAATTTTATATTCTTTACATGCTTGATCAACTGTAACAATTAATTTATCAATATTAAGTAAAGTTCATTAGAATTCATTGCAAGTATCAATGATTTTTTCAAATTAGATCTGTAATTTCTAATTCATTGTAAAAGTAATAGTAGGTCAAATCAATGATTTCATATGATTAAAGAAAAGAAATAGAAAAAGAAATGTAATTGTCAATATTTTTATATCGAGTTATTAATGAATATTATCGGAAGACGACAAACAAAGCAAGTTTCAAGTTTTTCTTGTTCCATGTAGTAAAGAATGAACGTTAAAATAATAATAATTAAAAAAAGAGAAAACAACTAAAAAAAATCCTAAGCCTAATCTAACGAATGGTTATTAAAAAAAACATAATGCAATAGTCAAGGACACGTCGAAACTTGACTATATAGAAACAACATGACATGATGAAAATAAAAAGTAACAATAACAGAACTAAGTAGTGTTGATAATAATCAAGGAGAATAGCACATGTATATATATATATGCTCATTCGTTCGTTTACATTGATTATAGTGCGTGTTTTTAATCTTAAATTGCATGACGTATGCTATTCTAACTACGTCAATACACGCATACAATCCGATTATAAACTTCGAGTTAGAAGAATTTTTTCTATGGTGTTAGTTGGCTTATTCTTACTAATTCCTTGAGACAATCTATAAGGATCAGTGTTGAAACCTTTTGTCTATGACAACTCATACTTTATCCTTACCAATAATAGTAAACAAATAAATAAAATATAAGAAAAACGGAACGGAAATAATTTATGTTTAGATGTATATAGACATTTTCTTATCTAATCACGTAATACAATCTGGAAGATGATACCTTGCTGTTGGTTTTTTTTAGTATGCTTGACGTACGGATGTAATGATGATGAAAGAACTCTTATAATCACATCTCTTACTTTATGAGACACATGGCGCTTTCTCTTGTCTTTTTTCTCTCGGTCGCTCAGTCTAACAGTCAATCAAAAAGTCTGCTATGTAGTGTATGTGTGCACACAACATAAGAGTTAATTGAAAGAGATGCTCACTATGCGTAATACAAAAAATGAGCAATAAAAAACAACAAGAAAAAAAAAACTCACGAAGCTTCTTGTTTTTTTTTCCTCTTTTCCTTTTTTAACATATGTCGATTTCACTAATAAAATTATGATTCGATTGTCGTTTAACTTTTTATATTATCTAGACATATTGATATAAATGCGTTTTTCATGTATCATTTTTGCCCCTGTCTATGTGCATCAGGCAAACATTTTAAAGTTTCCATATTGTTCTCTCTTCTAGTGAGGTAGTTCAAGCGAAAGAAAGTAGACTAGAGAGATAATCTCTAATCGGAACACAACACTTGAAGAAATGCATAACAAGAATCTATCATTTCTCCCCCTTCTCTTGCTCGCTCTCGCGAGAGCGAGTACGTCACACTCTAACAGCATTTTTCCGTTTTCCGAACTACACTTTTCTCTCCTCCTTCTCTCTCTCTCTCTTCTCGCGTCGTATGAGAAAATATAGAAAAACTGGCAACAGTCGAAGCACTGCTATCAACACACATACACACACATTACAAGTACGCAGACGAACGCAAGCATAAACTAGAAGAGAATTAACGTCAACAAATAAATTTTAAATTAGTTGAAACTAATAATAATAATTCATCATGCATTACGAGTTATATATATTTATTTGAACTATGTTCTATTCGTTTGTAATTTTAATAATTCTTATCGCAGGTAATAATTCATTCTTCATACTTCTATGTCTGTCATAGTAATAAATAAACCAATAAAAGATGATAGAAAGCAGACATATATATTACTTATCAATGATACTTTATTTCACCTGTTTGCATACTGATTTTTAATTTTCATAATTTATTATAGTAGATTGGTCTTTTGGACAAAAATGCAATCGAGAACGAATACGTAGATGGAATGCTGAACAAAGACTGATTTGTGATTTACTTGATAATTATCAAGTGAGATGGGGACGACCTGTCAGGAATATGAGTGAAGGTGTTGAAGTCCGCTTTGGTTTACAACTTATTCATATAAGTGACCTGGTAAGTAAAATGAAAAAAAAGTCGGTGATAACCTCTTTTAAGATTATTTAGGATGAAAAAAATCAAGTATTAATCACAAATCAATGGCAAATTTACGTATGTAATAACATTTATATTCATTTATTATCATTATTATTTATCTTTCTAGGAATGGGAAGATGAAGCATTAACATGGTAAATATCATAAATCATGTTTTTTTTTCTATGTGTGTGTATCCTTCTTTTTTTGTTTTCTATTTTAGGGATCCAGAAGATTATGGTAAATAAATTTGAATGAGAAATCAAAAAAAAGATAAACATGAATTGTCTGTTTCTTTTTGAGATAATCTTACAGATATACGTTTACCAATAAAACGTATTTGGCAACCAGATGTGACATTGTACAACTAGTAAGTTCTCTATTGAAAAGAAAAAGAATATTTTAGAATTCTTTCAAAAGACAAGTTCGACTAATTATTAAACATTTGCAGTTCATGCTTGTTTTACTAAAGCAAGCGAAAATAGAAGAAAAGTGTCTTCATAATATCCGATTTCATACATAAGAGAAATGAGAATTATTAATCTCGCATAGTTCTGTCTATCTACTTTACTAAACTAATCAGTTGATAATCTTCTTCTTATTTGTTTTCACAGTGCTGATACACGCCTTGAAGAAAAACGAGAAGTATTGGCAATTGTTTATCATAATGGAACAGTGTTTTGGAAACCAATGTCAATTTTTAAATCAACATGTCAAATTGATATTCGGTAATTGATATTTTTTTATTATTCTTATTTTAGTAACTAACTCTTACTATTCTTTTTTTAGACGTTTTCCATATGATCGTCAAAATTGCTCAATGAAATTTGGTACATGGACATATGATAGTTCGAAAGTAAATTTAAAATTTTATCGTAATATAGAAAAATTCGATCTTAATTCATATGTTAAATCTAATGAATGGTCTATTGTTGGAAATAGTGCATCACGTTATACAGAAAAATATGGTACGGATAATGTTTCAGTATATCAAATATCATTTTATTTCTTTCTGGTTAGATTGTTGTCCAGAAATTTATGTGGATTTAAAATTTTATATTAATCTTGAACGACGTGGTGGTTTTTATAATTATATTTTAATATTACCCTGTGTATTATTATCTTGTTTAACATGTATTCTTTTTTGGTTACCTGTAAGTTAACTATTTAAATAAATTCATTATTTATTTATTTTTTGTATTTTCTCTTAGCCTGAAAGTCCATCAAAATTAGTACTTGGTAAATTGAATAGCTTGTTTATTTTTTATTTCAATAACCATCTTTCTATTTTTGTTCAAAACAGGAATGAATATTTTTACATCATTTTTTGTCTTGTTACTTCTCTTATATAAAAATATGCCATCAAATGCTGAACACATTCCACGTATAGGTAAGAAATCATTTACCGAAAGGAAAATATTATGTACGAATAAAATTATTTCTTTTTTATTTTAATGGAAATTCATGTCATTTATTTATAGGTGCATATTATTGTTTAAACATGGGAATGATTGCTACATCAACATTTTTATGTACAATTGTCGTTCATATCTATTTTCGTGGTAATGGACCAATGCCAATTATATTAAGAAAAGTATTTTTCATATTTCTTTTTTTTTCTTTTTCAAAAAAAATAAATAAACCTTTTTTCTTTGTATTTACTTTGATAAGATTTTTCTTGAATGGCTTGCAACATTTTTTTGTATGGTACCACATACCACAGCACATGAACAACATGTAACTCATAGTCTAGTACCACCAATAAAAGCAACATGCGATGGTGATAAATTTGAAAAATTTGAATTACTTAAAGAACGCTTTAAATCATTTGGGGATAAACGTATATCAACAACAAATGATGATTCACATAATGAAGTATTAGAAATAAATAATGATTATGAACATGAACATGAACATGAACATGAGCAACAAGCAGAAGATTTTTTAACACAACAAATTCAACAACAAATAACAGCATCACTTGCATTTATGACTGTTGAAACTGATTTAAAAGAAATAAGAAATTTTTTACGTGCAACAAGAAAACGTATGGAAGATAAAGAAGCAAAGGCTAAAACTGTTAATGATTGGAAACAAGTTGCACTTGTACTTGATCGAACATTTTTTTTCATTTATTGTATTGCTATTATCATTTCTCTTGCTGCTATGTTTCCTAGATAGATTTATTTGTTTTATGTTTTTTTTTCTAGTCTATTCGTACAGCTATTTTTCTTGTTGCTCGAGTTATTGAAATGTTCCTATTGACGAAGATGTCAAAGATATTCTATGCTTATTTGTTTGCTCAATGTGAATTACAATAGAAGAACAGTAAACTAAAACAAAAGAGAAAGAGAGCAGGTCAATATATATATTTATTAAAAACAAAAACAAACAAATAGATAACATTATTTTCACATATCATTCGTATCAGGTGGCCGGTGAGCATAACGTTGATGAATACGTTTTCGAACTAATGATTCAAATGGATTAACATCCTGTACAAAATGTTTATTAACAAGTAATCTAGCATGTTCAGTATTATTCGTAACTTCATCTTTTTCGTCCATATCATCTGTAACAATTGGACATATTTTTGGTATATAATATTGATGTACAGCATATATAAAAAAAACAATTGTTGCTAATAAAATAATAATACTAATAATAAGTAAAACTTGCATAAGATTTGCTTGATTTTGTTCATATTCACGTGTATTCCATGGTACATATAAACAACTAGTTGATGAACGATAATAAAAATTTTTATTTTTATTACTTAAAAAATTCACACATATTTCATAGCGACCTGGTAATAAATTATGAATATTGATTGTATTATTTTCTTTTTCATTTAAATTTATTTTAACATAATCACTTATTTGTTTTTCGAAGCGATCTTTTAAATTTACTTCATGTTTACCTGTAAGATCCATTACTCTTAATGTAAATGCGTAATATAAAGAGAAATTTTGTTCATGTTCACTTTTATTAAATTTCGTATGTAACGATATGCCTATTGATGTTGTATTTAATTTTTCTTGACATAAATATATATGTGGATATTTCATTGAATTTTTGTATGAGCATTTATGTCCATATGTTAAAGTAAAAAATAGAAAATACATAAAAAAAAACATTCAATAGAATTTAATTTGAGTATATACATAAAAACAAGAAAATGAATGTTTGTTTTTTCTTTTCAATATTTTTTTTAATATAATCATTCGTTTGCTTTAGGAAATATTAGTTTATTCATCTGAAAATAAATTTTTGCTATGAAACGCTAGAAAACAAAAAACACATTTTATTGCATTCTTAGTTATATCAACATGTACCAAATCATTTATGCGCATGAAAAAAAAATTGTTTCATCGGGGCTCTTGTAATCGTCGACAAAAATAAGTTACACGATCAGGTAAGATTCGGTTAACTGATATCAATGTATTACCCCTCCTGCAATTTACGAAAGAGAAAAGAACTATTTGGACTAGTACAAAAAATAATCATTGTATCTTACGAAAGTCCAATCATTTTTCGTTCTGAATTTTGACTTAATTTTGTGCGAGCACTAACTGCCATACATGCATGATCAGAAGAAGGTGTTTTATAATAATAACGATTTGTATCCGATAATCGGTCAACTTAAAATGGATTTTTTCAAAACAAATAACTGGAAATAAAATATTATTTTGTTCTTACATTGAGCTTGACGAGTATTGTCATTAAACTGAAATTTAATATCACTATAGTGTTTCTAAAAGAAAATTAATCTCATTATATTCATTTAAAAATATTTTTAACTTTTATTTACACTAATTTCTCCAGCAGTTGGAATAATTTGAATTTCTCTATCCATATCTGCCATTTTGGTCACCATTAAACACCACTATCAGAAAAAAATCAATTACTTATTCAATGAAATTTCTTTTTGATTATCAATCAAAGCGTAATGTAATTAGAAACAAAAGAAAGCAAGGACTTGTTGTGTCCTTTTATTTTAGTGAAATAGGAATATGTAAATAGTATTTTTTCATATTTATTTGAAAAGGCCGAATAACAGTAATATTATTTCCGACCAATGCAATTAAAAAAATATTTTTCAATAAGATTTCTTTAAAAGTTAAAAACACAGTGTTGTGGTTTATAAAACAGAATACGCGCTTCAAAACTTCATTGAGTCTTACGAGTGAAGTGCCCGAAGTGATTAATCACTTGTGAGTTGGAACTATATGCATCATGTAGACTCTAATGGGTTATGAATATTCAGAAAAGAGTTCAAGCCCAAGGTTTATCGCTACCCACATATTGTATTTTTACAGTATTTTCCGATGCCAGGCCATGTTTTTCCTCAGAAACATCAGTAAAACCAATTATCGAATTTCAACATGAACATTTGCATAGAAACAAGCTTTAACGAGAATAGTTAATCGTGAAAGTATCAAATCACTTTATCAATTTCTGTTATGAAATAAGACCGTCGAATATGAGAGTATGTATGAACGATGTAAGAGATAAGCTTTTACCATGTTTGTATCTTGGCATAGGAATAACAAAAAATATTTAAAATTGTCACAATAAACTATTCTCGTCAATGCTTGTTTCTATTCAAAGTTTCATATCAAAATTTGAAAATCCAATTTTTCTGATATTTATCAGAGTAACCACCGTGTTAAGTCGAAATGTACTATGAAGATACAATATGGCGGCAGTAATAAGCTATGTATCCAAAATCTTTTAGAGATGCTCATAACTTACTAAGGTTAACGTGATGCACTTAATCTTAACTTAAAAGTAAGTAATCGATTGTAGCATTTCCCTCGTTAAATCAATCGATTTATTCTTGAGCTTTATGCACAGAATTGCAATAGTAACTGAAAACTTTGAAATGATTTTGAAATTTTCTTAATATAAAAAATTTATATTCAAAACATTGTCTTTTACAATAATTTTATATTTTGACAGCAGAATTTATACCAATAAAACTAATAAATGCCTCAATTAACAGTTCAGTTTAAATTTTTTTGGAAAAACTTTGACTTTGCAATCTAATTAGATGTTTTTCTCACCAATTTTTGAAGATATTCTTCTGATAATAAATTTTTTTCCATTATTCCTGCAAAAGTCATACGTGAATTTCGTTGAACATAGAGTATTACTTCATCATGTTCAGTTTCATCATTTTTTTCTGGTATATCTCCCCATTTAGCATGTCGTTCATAATGATCACTATCATTATGTTCAACATCATTGAAATCCAATGAATTTGATATAGTTCTTTGTCTTGTTCGATGAAAATTTGAAAATGATGACATAGGAGGTAAACAAATTATATCTTCTTGAGTACAATCAGTTTCATAATCATCTTTTTCTACGGGTACAATTGTAACTTTATCAATTGAATCATTGAAACTTAGTGATTCTTTATCTGTTCTTAGAGATGCTACAGAATACGATCGTTCATATTGATATCTTCTTTGTTGACTATCAAATAATAACTCATTCAGTGATTTAGATGAAAATATTGGATGGGATTCATCTTTTGAAAACTAAATTAAGAGAAATATATTAGACAAACAAATGCATGTTAAAATCAAAGATAGTAACTTGTTGAATTGATGCAGATTCTTTGTTATACACAGATGATACATTACTATTTATTTCAGTTTTCTTAGGAGATGAAATATCTTCTGTTCGATCAGCATCGAAACTTGTTGTTTCTCCTAATGAATCAGATGAATATTCTTGAATAACCGGACTAAATTGTCCTCGAATGCCAGTAGATAGTGAATCACCCATACTATTGGAATCAAAATTTACTGAAGATGTTTCATTTTTCTCGAATAATAAAGGCATAATTATATTAATAGGTTTTGATGATATTTGAGGGTTACAATCTGGTTTAGTTTTGGCATTTATATCATTGAAAACTGGTTGAAGACTCAATGATCGACGAATATATATTCGAATAAGTGATACACCATTTTTTAATTTCATTTCTGGTCCTAATGGAATATATATTTCATTTGCCTAAAAAAATTATTGATATAAAAACATCGTAATCGAGAGCTCGAAACATTTCTCAAATAGATACTAGTATTAGCTGGTGACGCAGATTAAATGAAACAATATCATTCTGTTGTTTGAGCCATTCCCATATGCTTTCAGAAAGTCATTCGATAGAAAATATTTTGTTCTACAAATTTGTTTCATTTGTTTGGCAAATAAAATTTTTCTGTTGAAGCAAAATTTAAAGCAGAAATGCCTGTTCAATAGTGTAAACTGTGAATATAGATTTTCTCCAGATATCTATCAAGTTATATAAACCTTGTTTCATGAGGATCAGTCAAAAAAAAGTAATTCAGTTAGTATCAATCAATAAAGAATTTTGTGTTTTCTATTACTGTTACCTGCTTAAGATCCTTGGTGCTACTGTTCATTAGAAAAAAGGTTGGAACTAAAATCTAAAGTGGTGGAAAAAAACTTTAATGTCAGAGTATATTTCTATAATGTGAAGAAATTAGTTCAAATCCAGACAGTGATTTTAATAGCTAATGAAGCTTTCTATCTAATGCATTCTATGCCAAGATTTTATAGATGAACTATGATAGAAGTTTTCAAAAAACTGACTACTGCAGTTTTTAAGTTCTGCAACACTTTATTGGAGCTATTTACTTAGTATATTATTTTAAAGAGAACAGAATAAAAGCATCGTTGCATTTTCTACGACCTTTTCATGATCAGTAAAGTGTCATGAAAAAGCCTTTTTTTCGGTTTTTGTCATATTTTTACCTTTTCAATGAGAGATCGTAAATAATGCGATGACCTATCATTTTGTTCTCTTTTAAACGACATTGTTAAAAAACTAGCTCCCACAAAACCTTCTGAAATTAAAAATTATCATGTCTGTTTTTTTCGAAAACTTTGTCATCATAGTTTATCTATGAAGTCTAGCTAAAGTATGTATTAAATTAGAAGACTTCATTGACTATTAAAATCTCTTTTTGGATTTCAGTTAATTATTAAATATTACAGAATGATATCGAAAATACATTGTAATTAAACTTTTTTTACCAGCTTACTCCGGATATGGGATTTAATTCTATACAAAACGATGTAACTGCCAAGTTTCAGAATGCAAACAATTACGTCGTATCAGAATAAAAAACAACACACAGTTAATCTTGTCAGAAAAGGTTTTTTTCCAGTGTTTTCTCAGGTTTTACTTGATAATGATTATTCTCGCAAAAATTTCTTCTAAAATTCTGAATCATAGATCAAGAATTTGATGAGATGCTTGCTGTATCAGAAAAGCGTTGTTAAATAGAAAATTTGCATAATTTTTTTCGTTCTTTCAACCATCGTAGCAGTTTTACAGTTTGCAATAGCTTTGCAGAGAAAAATTTCTCTATCGAATGACTTCCTGAAAGTATATATATGTAAGTGCTTCAGAAAAACAAGAAAATAATAGTCTCGTTCAATATGCGTCATCCGTTCTATTTCTATGTGTGTGGATATCTATACAAAATCTTGAGTTGAGCCATTATTTTAAAATAGAAAAGCCTAAAATAATTTTCCATTATGATAGATGAAATTGGTTTGATTCGTTGTTATAATGCTAATAATTTAGTTGTTAATATGTTCTCTCTCGAAAACTTGCTTAAGAATCAATAGGACTAGACATTTTGTGTTTCAGTTTTAACTTAATCTGTATCTATCTATTTACACAATTCAAATATATCTTATAAATTCATAATTCACTGAGTTTATTTCGGACCTGTATCTACGAATCAAATTATCATAAATTGTTCCTTGATAATTATATATAGAACTAGGTAAATTTCAAAATAATAATTTTCAGTATGTTCACAATCATATTCTGAAGAGCATTATAATCAATTTGAGTTATATGAGAGTATTCTTTCGATGTATCACCAATTCATGAATGAAAATAATGAAAAATTACTCACTGGTAGATTCCGCTCTAAACTAAGAATTACTTGTAAATAAAATGTTGTATCACTATCCAAAGTTGAATATAATATTCTACGATATTAAAAAAAAACTAAACTTTTCAAATTAATTTATTTTAACTAACCTTTTTTCATAGGCAAAAAGTCCATCTTTAATTTCATATTTTGATTGTAAATGATTTAAAAGGTGTTTAATATATAATAAATATTGACGATTATTCTATAACAATCGTACAAAGGATAAACAAAATGAGATAATTTTTATTTTCTTACTTCTTTTAATGGTGCATAATCAATAGTTGAAAAAAGATTTTTTATTGAACGATTTTCATTAAATATATATTCTGTGATTGGTGTTAATGTTTGTTTAAGATACTTGTGGAGTAGTTTAATATCTGGATAAATCTATAGATATAATTATTTGAAAATGTTGTTGATTTAAGCTTTTTTTTTTGGTTTTCTTACAGAGTGTATATGATTGAATGTGCCATAGAGCATATTGAATAATTGAAGAATATGATTAAAATGAATATTTGCTTCGTCTGAAGTGAATCGATCTTTAGACAGTACTAAAAACTAAGTAAAACGAAAGAAACAAAATGACTCATTAAATTCCGAAATAATATTTACTGCACAATGTCTTCCATAATGCTGACATACAACAAGTGATTTTTTAAAATTAAATTCTTTTGGTATAGATGAGAATAGATCATATTGAAAATATTGTATTAAACCAATAATTTCTCCACAATCGAGAAGTTTCTGAACAAGAAAAACTAGATATCTTAGTTGAAATTAAGCTTTTTTTTCTGTTTATAAAAAATTTCATGAGCAAAATTAAATATATATTTATATATATTATAGCATTTAATTTTTTTTCCACGCAGATTATTATATAAATACTTGTCTCATTAAGTCTTCTTTCCGTGGATAAAAATAAATAATTGATTCTTGAAGAAGATCAATTTCGTCTGTTGATCCTTTTACATGGTAAAAATCAAATATAAAAAAGTAAGATATAACTCGATTTGCTAATGATGTTGCCATCTAAAAATTTAAGATAAGTTAAAGGTATGTTCAAAAACATTGATTTTTAAAACTAATAATCATATTACAGTTGGATAGAATTTTCATTTAATAAGAATTAAATTCAAAACTTACCTATGTATCTATAAATAAAAAGTACATCAATCCATGATTTATAGAATAGCTATTTCTATGAATCACAGGTATAACTTCAAGAGTAAGTTGTCATTGTAGACAACGAAAGAAAAAGATGACAATTTTACTTTTTCATTTCTAGAGTTAAGATAAAACATGGAGGTGATCGTTTATTTTTTTTAGTTTGTGTATTTTTTCAATTTGATATCATAATTTGTTGGTTACTTTCAACTAAATTTATCATATATTGTTGAAAAATTAATGTTACGATAATCATTCTTCTAATATGAATGATAAATACATTGAAATTAATGATTTTTATTTAGTGTCAGGTTAATAAGATCAGAGTTTACAAAAAATTCTTGACATAGTTTATTTGATACAAAGAAAAAACGAACTTTGCTTTTGTTTTGTAAGTAAAAAAGTGCATAGAGCACAAAAAAGATACGCTTACTGATAACGATTCTTCTTTTTATTCATATCATGCTGTTAAAGTCTGGTATATTTTTAAACCACATATATATGCAAATTTTACATTGATTGTATATGCATATTATAAAGTATAATATTTTGTGCATCAGTTTATCTAATGATCATATTCAATTGTCTTGACTGATAGAATGCTATCATTAGTGATTTAAATTTATTTATAATATCCAAACTTAGCCTTATCAAAATAATGATCTACTGATTTATGTTGATAGAAGTAAAAATGTTCTATAATATTGAGTGGATACTTATTTAAGATTTTTTAAGTTTATCAAAACAACTAGAAACTATTTTTTTCTGGATGAGTAGACATAATTAAACTGACACAAATTTTAAGTAGTTATTTGTGATAAAATTTAAGAAAAATAATTTCAGAACATGATCTGCAGTTATATTACCGGTTTTATATTAAAATGAATATTTTAAATTTATTTTAAATTTAAAGACATCAACAGATGAGTATATTCGATCGCTCAATCGTCTGAAACAAAAGTTTGAATTTAACAAAAACAAAAAACAAATGAACGCTTCAGTTTACAAAGAAAGACAATTACAGATTTGATCTTTTTTTCTCTAGAAGTCTCTTATTATCGAGTGAACAACATTTTTGTTAACCACCATCTTACCCCTTCATCTAATCGGCCTGCTTTCGTTCGCAGAAAACCCAAACTTATGTGTTGCATGTTCGTATATTTCTTCTTTTTCTTATCGAACAACGTGAGGAAACGAAAAATATTAGTACGACACAAATTGCACAAAAGAAGAAAAAGGAACAACATTATATGCTTACGTTCATATGGATTGAAGTGGGAAATAAACAAAATTAAATTCTTTACATATATTTAAGAAAATTAATTTCTTTGACGAATTACATACAAAAAAATAAAAATAAAAAGACATTAATGACAAAAATATAATTCCTTTACATAAATGTTAAAAGATTCGACAGAAAATCGTTTGTACTGTTATTGTTATTATTATTATTATTACTTGATGATATTGAAACATTTAATTAATTTGAGAAAAGATCTGAATCGAAATAATTTTGGCACAAGCAATCACTATCCCAAGAATTTAGATTTTGATAATCAGATGAAGACGAAGGTGGAGTAATATTTATATCATCAAATAAAAGATCTATTTCATCATTTAAATCGTTCGTTAATGATGAAGAAGATGGATTAGTAGACGGAAGAAGTAAAGAATCTAAAAATATTTAAATATAAAAAAATTTATTTTGAAGTTTTTAAGGGTTGTACCAAATAATAATTGATCTAATAAATCATACGATGATGTTGATGATGGTGGCGGTGGTGGCGGTTGAGGTGGAGGAGGAGCTATTGGTATTGGTTTAGGATTAATAATCTCTGAAGTTGACTGACGAATAGCGAAAAATTTTCCATCTGGTGTTCTAATATATGATCCTTGTCGAGATTTAATAAGATGAATTTTAATACCAGCTGGAATAATACCACGTTCAAATCCATTCATTTGAACTTCCAATGCTAAATAGAAAAAAGTTAAACATCCGTTTTTATGACTCATAAATCCAGAAGAAACCTGAGTTAATATATAATAAGAAATTTAAAGGAGAACAAGACTAACGATTTTGATTCCATCTTAATCTAGATAGCAATTTTTTTTTCTACTTACGACTCTGAAGCGTTACTAATTGAACTGTAACTCCTTTTTGTTTTAATTCTTCTAACTTCTGATCTGGTGTTTGATAAGTTTGATAATTATGATATATTGGATACTGAGATTCAATTTTCGGTAAAGTTGAATAATTTGAAGGTTGAATATATTCATTTAAATATCGAGAATTATTATTATAAAATGATGAACTAAAACAAAAAAGAAACACAAACTATTGAGTTTCTTTTAAATTTTTCTTTACGATCGTGATGAATTAAATCTTGATCGATTCGAATATGTTTTCATTTTTTTTTCGTATTGATATTCTTTTTGGGCACGACGTTTTTCAGCTGATGTTAATTGATATTCTTTTTGATCCAATAAAAGAGATTCATGTGTAAATGGAATTTTTGTTATTGATTGAGCATACTGTTTACCTACTGATAATAAAATAGCATCATCTGATATTTCATCAATTTTTGTTATTAAATCTGGTGCAGCTGATTCTTCTTCAGCCTATATTTTTTTTTAAAGACAAAAATAATAAGTTCAAAGAATAATGCTTCATTATGTTCAATACCGCAAAATGAATTAAATTTTTAACTTCTTTTTCAGTAAATTGATTTTGCGGTTGTAATTCATCAACAACACGATTAGACATTCCTTGTTTCGCTATTTGTCTATCATAGATACGTTTTTCCATTGTAAAATCTGCTATTAATCGATATATATAACAATGTTTTTTTTGTCCATAACGATAAACTCGACATATAGCTTGAGCATCAAGACATGGATTCCATGATACATCCATAACAATTACTCGATTTGCACTAACTAAATTTATTCCAAGACAACCCGCTCTGATCAAAGAAAAAGATTATTAATGAAAATTCGACCGTAAGTTTTTCTTTACCTAGTCGACAGTAAAAATAGTTTTGCATTAGAATTCGAAGCATTAAATGCATTTATTAATTTTTCACGTTCAATGGCGTTTGTACTACCATCAAGTCCTAAATAAGATAATTATAAAGTTGAGAGCATAGTGTTCTTTTAATTTTTTTTATCAGAGTAGGCAAAAGTTGATTTATAGTTTGCAACAATCGCATTGAACTATTCGAATGGCTGCCAGTTTACTCTTGTTTATTTCCAACTTCAAAATTTTTAGGTCTTGAAATGGAAAACACGGAGACATCTTTTCCGTAATTATATATGAAATGAATTCATTTTAAAATCAATGATTTACACAAAAGATTTAAACATTTGTATGAAAATTACCTGCCATTCCGATGAAATTTCGATAACAAGAAAGAAAATTTGCTTATAAAGCAACAAAATTCTATATTATTCGATCGTGTAGATATATAATTTTATTTGCTTAGCATTTATATATGAGAAGAGAAGTATTCAAAATATTTCTTGAAGTATAGATCTCAAGTTTCTCTATTTATAAAGTATGACACAGTCAAAATCCTATATATATTATTTAAGGAAAAAAATCGTTCTAATGTATTTTCTTGTAACTGTTGAAAATGACAAACCAGTAGCTATCTACATTCTTGACTTATTCAATTGTTAACTGAGTATCTAGAAGTCTCGTGTCAACATTAGAAAGTAGAGAATATCAATTGGTGTAAGACTCAATTCACCAATGGAGAGGTTCATTTAAACATGTCATTTAGTTTGTGCTTTAGTTTTTTTTTTACAAACACAGGTTTCTTCTTTCGTTCTTTTCTATGATAAAAATCTTAGGACTCTTGTTTGCTCTTATTGCAAAAAAAACGAGTCTAATTTAAAATAAACACGAAACGTTTCGAAATCGTTTAAATACTGATAATAACATGAAATAATATATCAGCTAAATGAACTCATTAATTGAAAACTGTTATCCAATATAAAAAAAAAAAAACAAGAGATTTTAAGAGCTAGGTGAAGCTTGTTGCTTCTTTCAAAGCCAAAAGTTTCATATGAACTCTTTCAGACACAATGTCTCTACATAATGATCTGTTTAAATGTTTGACTTACGATAATAATTAAGATTTTTCTGCCATTTTTGTTCTGTATTAGGTATTTGACGTTGACTAAGAAATTCTTCTAATTTATTTAATGATAATAAACTTTGACTAAAAGAATAAAATAAAATTTAATATGAATATCAGTTAAAGAAAAGTTTATTTACGTGAATAGAAGAACTTTATCACCTGCTTTAATTGATAAATCAATTATTGTTAAGGCAACTTCAAATTTAATACCATTTGATAATTGACCACAAATATAAGAATTTAAAATTGAATTGGCCTTATATTTAAATATTAAATCAATAAATAAAACAAGCAAAAAAAAAGACAAAAGTAAACTTACAAAATCATAATCAAATTCTTTTCTTTCTGTCTGGTACATTGATGTTTGTGCTTCATAAATATTATTCAAGGTCGTTGTTTGTAATGATGAAATAGGTGATGCACGATTATTTAAATTTAAACGATTATTTGACTTAGTTTTTGTTGCATTAGAACTTTGATCAATTTCTAAATCTAAATCAAGATCAGAACCATCTTGACGATCTCGAACAAATTTATATAAAACATCAGCATGATTCCATATCTACTTCAAGCAGAAAAAAAATTTTTTGTTCAAAACTAAAAATTATTGTTCTTTTTTTGATTTTACTTTGCAACAAATAGCAAATGCTCTCAATGGATTGAGTGTTCGTCCGAAAGATTTTGATAAAGCACCAACGGCTTCAAGAAATTTCATATACAATTGTCGTTGAGTACTTGATAGTTTTAGCAATAGAACATATTCAGTTTTAGGTGGTAAATCAGTTTGAAGAACATCATGACCTCTTCTATCATTGGAATATTCATTTTTATTTTATTTTCATAAAATATGTGCAAAGATGGAACATTACCTTTGAATAAAACCTTCAAGTAAACTATGCAAAACATGGGCACGAGCACGCATTAATTGTTCGTCTTCAGTTGTTGAATCAACACACTGACCATTTAGGATAGGACGTTCAAACATATTACAAAATTCTTGTTTACTACCAAGATAATTAGGACGAACAAAATCAACCATACACCAATATTCTTAATAAAAACAAACAATTATATATTTCTTTTTGAGAGTTTCTGTATTCAAAATGTTTAATATATAAACGGTTTTTTTTTATGAGTATGGAACAAATTCTAACTGATATATGTCTGAAGAAGATAAAAAAAAGTAATTTCTCATTAAACTTACCAATGAGATTATTTTGTAGTGGATAACCAGTGAGAACAATTCGTCGTCTATAATATTACAGTCTCAAAAATCAATTCATACTAATCTTTCAAAATCTTTGTACTTTGTTTTTATTGACTTTAATGCCATTGCAACACTAGCTTGATGATTTTTAATTCGATGACCTTCATCACAAATCACAAGATCAGGACTAATCAACGCATTTCTTATATCTATATTAAGACTATAGATCATTATGTTCATATATCTTAATGAATTATTTTACCTTCCATTGTTTCCAAAACTTTTTCATTATCTCCAACATCCGGAGTAAGGGATGTCGATGGACTAAATATATTCACTTGTTTATGAGAATTATTATTTTTTATTAATGTTCCTGTTTGTGAATGTTTTTTTGTTACCATTAACCGAAACATTTCGTAACCAATAATGAGTGTACCGCCAGTTTGTGACCAGTTTTGAACAATTTTAGCACGTTGATCAAATTTTTTTGATAGTTCATTTAATACATACAATTGAAACGAACGTTTATATTCAATCTTAGGATCATCTAATGGACACCAACGATTAAATTCACTAGCCCAATTTTGTATTGTATTTATTGGTACAACGATAAGAACTGATTTTGCTGTTGTATAACGTAATAAAATATCAATGAATGTAATTACCTGAAAAAAAAACAGACAACAATCGTCAAATATTTAGTATGAAATTTATATGTGTTTTTGTTGTTGTACTTGTAAGGTTTTTCCACAACCCATTGAATGTGCAAGAATACAACCAAGACCAGGTGTTGCTTGAAAACGTTGAAGAGATTCAACAATATTATCATACATAAAACGTATGCCACCGATTTGATGAGGTTTAAGAATCGAACTAAGATGTTTTGATATATACAAATCACGATCATCACTTGGATGATTGATATTAATTAATATATTACCTAGATATTAAAAGAATAGTCTGTTATCTGTTATAAATATTTATTACCACTATCATCTGGTATATTAATACGATCATCAACATGTAAACGTTGTAGCCTTTTACTTAATTTGTCATTTACAAAGTCAGTATTACCATCAATAGATTGAACATCAGAATCGCTATCATCATTATCATCATTATTGACTCTTCTTGTACTTGTATCTATACATGAATATATTTAGTTTTAATATTTTGGTTTTCTTAGGCTTTTATAAAAATAATAATAAGTTCTAAAACAGTTTGACTAGATTAATCGAAACTCAAAAAATAATTTAGTCAGATGAAAATTGCTGCTCTGAATACAATAATTATATTAGGAAAATCCAGCAATTTTTTGTTTCTAAAGAGACTAATCTATACGACGCTTGACGTTTCGTATCTCCAGTACAATGGCATAACGGTTCGAATATTTTCAAAATATAAAATAGTATGAGTAATTAAATGCGAAATTTCATTTAATATTCTTTATGGATTGTTTGTCTATAATCGCAAAAATGTACGGCATGTAACCTTAAGTAAAGATAAAGATCATCTAAAATTTCTGTCTCGTTGAGAGGTATTATTAAAAAGACAGAAGATTTGAATTAGTAAATAGAGTTGTAAAAAAAAAGAAAGCAATATTCATAGCTATCAGATTATCGGTCGTCACTAGAATTCAATTTATGTTGATACAGGTTAATGTCGTTTTCTTTTAGAAATTAATTCAAAGGTTTCACTTCATAATTTTCAAATGTTTGAGATATCCATTAAAACTTTAGAACAGAAATGGCAGATATTCTTATGAAACATGCTTGCTAATAGAAGTTGAATTACATACGAAAAAAATTAGACATTTTCTGTATTCGATATAGTATAACAGGCACTTTTGTCAATCACAGTCTGTGATAAGTAAAAGAATAGAGTTTAAGAAGTGTATCAATCTGTATTTCTTCATCTTTTGAGAATTTACAAATAACTTCTACCGCAATTAATCAAAATGAACCCATGCTTAACTTATACCTGGATTATTAATTAACGTTGATAAATTTTCTGGTTCATTTTCATCATCATCATCATCATCATCATCATCATCCAAAACAATACATTCTTGGTCATTTGTTGTTTTTTTCAATTGAAGAGAATAATTTGTTGGTATCTGAGTATACATATGGTTAAATTGTTGATAATCTTTGTTAATTTCTTCCAATCGTTTAAGACGATCTTGTTCAGCTTTGAGTGCTGATAATGTATCAACTTGTAATTGATCATTTTTTAATAGATGACGAATATTTCTTCTCATATATGATGGTGCTTGTTTAGATTTTTTAGTTTCATTTAAATCAGTTTTTTGTTCATTCTTACGTTTTTTTATTTTATTTTCTTCTTCATTATTTGATAATGAAGAATTTTCTGTTGTTGGTAAAGAAAATTCATTTGATGATAAAACTGGTGAAGAAGAAAGAAATAATGATGACAATGGATTTACATTATCATTTATTCTTTCATTGCTATCAAAAAGTCCACTATCAAATGTATCTACGTATGATGAGTCAACCATATTTGTGATAAATCAAACTAAAACATCTGAATAAAATAAACAAAGTATTTAAAAATATGATATATGAAAAGATAATCAGAAATTCAATGATCCGTTTTTACTTATTTATTATTTATGGGTTTTTTACTTCTTCCGTTTCATTTTATTTATGATTGGATGTAGGCTTTTAACCAATAACATATTTAGATTTTGTTAGGATAAAATAAAATTAAAAATAGTATATTATTTGAATTGTAAAGTAAATTAAATAAGACATTTTTCCTGAGAATTTATAATGATAATGATTGATCAGTTTAAGATATAATATTTATGGCATGAGTAGTTTAAATTCGAATAGTACTAAAATAGATGTTTAGTACAATAACAAACATTGCATATTTTATTGAAAAGAAAATGTATAAAATAACTGTTTTCGGACAAATCTCGTTTTACATTCTAGAAATTCAACTATTACTGTTGTTAAAGTACAAATTAAGATTAATTGTAAACTTGATACTCTTAAAAAAGAAAAAAAAACGACACATATATAATTTATTTTGTTGTAATTAAATACTATTTTTAGTAATCATCCACGCAAAAAGTTACTTGTATCATAAAGTAATAGTTATAGTAATTAATCAAATTACACTCTTATTTTAAATGAAAATACTCAAAAAGCTTATTTTTAATATTGTAGGAACCTTATGAATGTGTAGCAATTCTTTTTTATTTATACTCATAACCCTACTGAAACATTAGTTGACAAACAAAAAATATAATTAAATGGAATTGATATTAACAGTTGTGTAATACTTATCCATAATCCAATGCAGAGATTAATACAGAGGGTATCACATAATAACTAACGATAAATTGTCAACAATATATTTCACACTTTGTCTTGACGTAGACAGCTGAAATCTTTATTACGTTCACAAATAATCCGATCTTCACTTTTTTTAAGTTTTAGCTTTCTAGCTGAAACTAGTGCTCAAGTGCATGAACAATTTTAAAATAAATGTATTTTCGTATATGACTTTTGAGACATCTTTATGTCTTGAGATGTGATTTTATAAACATCCAGTGGAAAAAAGAAGTGTACATGACAAATTTTTTTCCAAAGTGTAAATTATAATAAAAATTAAGGTTTATGAACATGCTTCCAATTGCTTTCTATGTCCAAATACCTAAGTGATAAAGTATTTTGTCTATAATGTTTGTATATTTTCCTTTCAAAAACTTCTTTCGTCCTTGTGCATGTTCTTTTTCTAATTGTAATGATCTATCAAATATTTTTTTTTGTGAGCTTTTTCGTTCAGTATATTTTACACGTTTTCAGTTATTCATACATCAACAAATTTAGTAGTACTATCTACTGATTCTATAAATCGGTTAAATAATTATACTAAGAATTGCGCAACCAATACCCGAATTGTTTTGAGGCGATTTAAATTCATTACGAACCATTTACGATCTTTATCTGTTTTTGTAACTGATGGATAGTAAAGGTAAAAATTTGTCACGTAGGATATCTTGGAGCTGGATTCGAGTATTGCGTAACGGGATTCGCCTGTAGGTTATACCAAACAGTGAAAAGGGTATAGCAAGATAGATCTCGACGAGCTCTATTGATTTCACTAATTACTTTTTTCCAACACCCTCCCTTCATGGAAAAAAATACAAAATACTAACAAAAAATAAGCAAAAAAAAGCATTTTCTGTATAGCCCAACTGGATTCGCCTACAGATTATACAAAAGCAAGAAAATGGTATACCAAGATAGAACTCGACGAGCACTATAGAATGGACACCTTTCTGGCACGATTTGATGCTTGGATCCCATCTGAAATGGCAGACCCTGCCTTGAATCCGAATTTTCTGCGATATTTCGCAACTGGATTCGCCTATAGGTTATACCAAAGCAAGAAAATGGTATACTAAGATAGAACCCGATGAGCTCTATCGAATGAACACATTTTCGACACGATTTGATGCTTCGATTCCCTCCGAAAGGGCAAATCCTGGTTGAATCTGGATTTTCGGCGATATTTCGCAACTGTATTCGCCTGTAGGTTATACCAAACCAAGAGAGCGGTATACCAACATAGAACTCGACGATCTCTTTCGAATAAACACCTTTTCGGCACGATTTGATGCTTGGATCTCATCCGAAAGTGCAAATCCTCGCCTGAATCTGGATTTTCGCGGTATTTCGCAACTGGATTCGTCTACAGGTTATACCAAACCGAGAATATGGTATACCAAGATAGACCTCGTCGAGTTCTATCGAATGGACACCTTTCCGGCTTAATTTGATGCTTGGATCCGCTCTGAAAGGGCAAATCCTGGCCGAAATCCAGATTTTCGGCGGTATTTCGCACCTGGATTTGCCTATAGGTTATATCAAAGCAAGAAAATGATATACCAGGATAGAGATCGTCGAGTTCTATCGTGGTATACCATTTTCTTGCTTTGGTATAACCTATAGGCGAATCCAGGTGCGAAGTATCGCCGAAAATTCGGATTCAAGGCAGGGTTTGCCATTTTGGAGGGGATCCAAGCATCAAATCGTGCCAGAAATGTGTCCATTCGATAGTGCTCATCGAGTTCTATCTTGATGTACCATTTACTCGCTTTGGTATAATCTGTAGGGAAATCCAGTTGCCAAATATCGCCCAAAAATCCGGATTCAGGCCAGGATTTGCTCTTTCGGATGGGATCCAAGCATCAAATCGAGTTGGGAAGGTATCCATTGGAAAGAGCTCGTGGAGTTCTATTTTAGTATGCCATTTTCTCTTTTTCGTAAAACCTATAAACGAATCCAGTTGCGAACTATCGCGAAAAATCCGGATTCAGGCCGGG